ATATATATATAAACAATTCAAACAAAACCCAGCGGTTAGTGAAGAGCGATGAACATAAACCCATGGATGGAAGACTGTGATGAAGTGATTCAATCCAAACTGACTTCGTTAGATTGGTTGTTGCCCTGACACGACATTTTTTATGACTTGGAAGAACTGACTTGAATTAAATAAACATAGGAAAGTATAAGAAACCAGACACAAACAGCATGATGGTACAATGGCAGAATGAGAGCTGGGATTATACATGTGCTCTGAGGAATGATTACTGAATTGAAACACCTGGGCTGATGAACAGATGGAGTGCAGGTGTGAGAGGGGTGCTGAAAATCAGAATGACTGTGATAAAACAATGGTAAGTAACACAGAGAGGAAACTAAAAGAACAGATGCTGAACACAAGGAATATCAAAGCAAAACAAATGCATTTCTGCAGTGGGAAGGACTTTGCTGCTGAAGCTAAGTTGTTGAAATGAAAAAAACAATTGTATAGGTAAAAGCTAAAAAAAAAAGCAAAATGCTAGCTAAATGCAAACAGCAGCAAACTGATAGCTAAATGCTAAAAGGAGCAAACTGCTAGCTAAATGGGCCCTGTGATTGACTTGAAATGTCCAGGGTGCAGCTCGCCCCTCACACTGTAACTACTGGATTTGGGCACCAGTGACCCCCATGACCCAGAAAGGAAGAAGCAGCTAAAATGTATGATTGCTAGCTAAATGATAGATGTGTCCAAACATTATCTAACTCTTAAAAAGTGCTCAAATTCAGGTAAAGGRAGCAAAATGCTAGATAATGGCGATAAAGAAGCTAAATGCTAACTAGCTATTGATTGTATGACGTTTCTYCCAAATTTCACATCAAAAAGTCTCAATTTAAATATTATCAAATTAGTTGGGGATAAACTTGATTTGCAAGAACCACATAGTTATATTGAACGTACATAAACAGACTAAAATGAATGCAGTCTTTGAAGGAAAACTAAATGAGTTCCATGCTTTGCTTGTTATTTTGTTTTAACAGGTGAATGAGCTCCGCAACGGAAGCCGTCACACTGCCTCACAGGTAAGTCATGTCAGGAGGCAAACCACGAGCCAACCACACCTTACATAATCACCGCCATGGCAGCATGACCCAGTGAGCATAATCACAGTGATTTGTGCCCTCCCATTTCTTCCTTGTATTAAAAAATATTGCTGGAGGTAAGTCAGGCGTGAGCGCGGGCAGAACTGCTGTGCTGATGGCCCCGAGGGAAGGCTTGGAGAGCAGAGCACAGCATCACGCCAAACGAGGGAAAAAAAGGAGGGAAAAAAGAAAAGCACCCCCTCACCCAACCCCAGGAACTGTTCTGTCTCGGTCATGTCGTGAGAACGGGATGACATTAGAGGGGTTGTTTAGCTGGCAGAAGAGCAGAAAGAGGAGAGGGGCTCTGTGSCACTGGGAGTCTTTTGTTACCTAACGATTAGCTGATGTCCTGATGGTGGTGGTGGAGAGGGGGGAGACATTAGTTCTTTGAATTTCATTAATGTATAGGTGTCATGTTGCTGGTTGATTTTGACCCCTCTGTGTGGGGCGGACTTGACCCTCTGTCCAGCAGGAAACACAGTGAACAGAAAGTTATCTGCTGTTAATAGGCTGATTTACAGGCTATTAAAATGACATTCATCAGGTTGGCCTCAAACTGGATTAGCACTCCTCCGAACCATTTAAAAACAGGACACTAGCTGGGTCCACCCACTCCTTCGGGAGTGGGGAGATAAAGAAAATYGACTGGCTCCCAAGGGGAATAAACCAGAACCACCAAAAATTGTAATGAAGTGGTTGGAAGGATGTTTTAGTCTCATAAAGATCATCAAGGATCATGGTGATATGAGAGAGAGAGAAAGCAGTAATATCTCTTTCAAACTCATCTACCAATTAAAGGCCTATAAATCCTTGAAACAATACATATTACGCACGTTCTTTCATGCAAACATTTTACATTAAGAATCTTATGAACAAAAATGAWGTTATTTACATTTTTGGTCAAAATTAGACAAGAAACTATGTGGAGTCTCGTGCAAAATCCCAAAAATGTGACGTATTTCAAAGTTTAACTTAAAATCCAATGATAAAAAGTTTCAATATAGCAAGTGCACTGGTTCATGAGATAGCTAACAGACAGAAATAGTTAAATGGAAAAAGTTGACAACAAACTTTTAGCCTAAACAAAAACCTTGTGCACACTGTTWACACTCAAGACATAAGTCTCAGCTACATTCATATCAAACTTTAGGTCATAATCCATAAAACTTGGAGTTAAAGCCTTTTTTGTGTTTGTTTGTTTTTTAAGTCWTTTTGTTGAGGCAGCCATTAAACCAGGTTGACTGCAAACGTTGTATATCAGTATATGCATGTGCCTATTTGATGAATAATTAATGTYAGTTTGTGATTCATGATTTTGCTAACACACACTTGCGTTAAAAACCTCATCATTGGTTTTCGCTTTTTGACAGCCGTCAATAGGCTACAGAGTGTTCAATTCAATTACAAAAATACAAATCTGTTTTTGATGTCACTCAAACTAGAACGTTTGTATTAAGGATTAAAATAAATAAAATGAGATTTCCATCTTTGATAAACTCAAAATTCCTGAAAAAACTAACTGAATGATCATTAAAAGTATTGCCCAGCTTTTAAAGGAACAACTTCTAAGACATTTTGCCCTGCGTTTAAAAGCAAATAATCAGTTTTAATTTTTATCAATAATAATAATGATTTAGGTTTTATTTTTTTTATTAAAGACAAAGACCTTTCAGTTCTGTGAGCTCCATCCTCTCTAGCAGGATTTCTCCTCCATGTGGCCCCTCTGTACGCCGCTCGGCGGTGCTCACAGACCTCCTCTCTGTCAGAGAATCAAGTCATCTGCTCCTCAGGACTTCAGCAAAACGACAGAGGAAGATGACAATTTTCCATCTAAACGGTGAAACAATAAATAAATAAGTAAATAAATGATAACACGTTTCCTCAACAGAGCAACGAAAATAAACCACCCTTCAAACAAATAATCGCCTTCGCTCACATCGTGTTTTAGCTGCGCTTTGTGTGAAGCTGTATTTCAGCACCACGGAGCTGTCCACCGCCGGGCAGACTGGACTGCAGCGACGCTCAGGATCTAAACGCAACCTGGACACCTTTTTCTTTTTTTCCTTTCTTTCTTTTTTTTACAAACATATTCTACATGTCTGATTGTTCATTTTCATAGATGTAAGCATGTCAGGCAAACATAGGACTGTGCAGAGATGAAGCTCGTGTCAATCTTGTCGTGAACGCGCAGTCATTTCGCTCTGAGTTGGAGCACAAAGGACCGTATTCTCTATATCTCTCTATTTATAGACCCTCTCCCCTTGATGGACTGTACCACCTCGTCTTTCTATAAGACAGGAAGGGGGGATAGAAAAGAGTCTGGTAGGTTTAAAGAGCCCCTCTGTATTGGAAGCACCCCCGCAGCTCTGGTGAGGATTGAACCGGTCCTGTCCGTTTAAACCGAGAAGACACCCATACCGAGTCCTCAATGCAAAAAAAAATAAAAGGGGTTCCAAGAAGCTGGGACGGAGGAACGTGGGTGTAAATAGACAGTGAACGCTGTTGCTCTCTCTCCCTTTTCTCTCTCTTTTCTCCCTCCCTCCCCCTTCCTCCTTCCCTCTCTTTCTGTCTCTCTTTTATGAAATCAATGAACGAGTTATTGGGGAGGACATAAATATAAGGAATCAAAGCCTCCATCGGGACCAGCGCCTTTATATTTTTTATATGTGTCTTTGCCAAACGCTACATGTGTTTTCCAATCAGTGTAAATACTGGCTCTGATAGGACGAGAGAGGAGCYTCTCTGGCACGGCTTGGTGGTCTCGGAGCCCAATTTTCATCCTTTTTTTCTTTTCTTTTCTTGTTCCTTTCCCCTTCTTCCAAAACGGTTCTCCATCATCTGCTGCCGCCGTCTCCATCCCAACTCAGTGGCAGGCAGCTGCGACGAAAGATGGCAACTTTAACCAACGGGCAGGRGGACGGCACCGTGCACGGTGTCGGTGTCGTGTCCGTTAGCACGAACGGGCTCGTGAACGGATTAAGCCACGGCAGCCCGGTGGGATGTCCGGCCACCATACCCATGAAGGACCACGATGCCATCAAGCTCTTCATCGGCCAGATCCCGCGCAACCTGGACGAGAAGGACCTCCGGCCCCTGTTCGAGGAGTTCGGCAAGATCTACGAGCTCACCGTGCTCAAAGACCGCTTCACGGGCATGCACAAAGGTGGGTTTAACAGCCCCCACAACTCCCTCCTCTTCATCTCTGTCAACTATGGCTGCACTTTATTTCTGTCACACAGGGGTAAATGTTGCGGCTGATGGGTTCACTGATGGAAAACTGTTGACTTATTATTGTTATTATTATTATTATTATTATTATTATTATTATTATTATTATTGCAGGTTATTTTTTAGCACAACAGGAATGTAAATGTGTTTTTTACTACTTGTCACTGATGCTCTCAAACGCATCTCGCTGAGCAAAGAGTCACGACTGCATGCATTAGCGGGACGCTGTGTTTGATTAGCAGCAAGCAGCACAAGATAACACTCTGCTGCCTGTTACACGCTCGGTGCGCGCGCGCGTTTGGAGGGGGTGGAAGGTACACGTGCGCACGAACGTGCAACAGCAGCTCGGAGTATTTGGGCCTCATATGAACAAACTCTATGAATAATTGCATTTATGATATTTATTTGGAAACTTCCTGTTCATTCAGAAGCCTTTCTCTGCTTTAGTTCAGCTTTCCCTGATATTTAAATAAAAAAAATCCTTTGTTGAGTTATTATTAGCAATAAAGTGACATCAACTTTTGGTGTGACAGATAACAGCCTACAGTAACAGATGAGGCTTTTTTTTCAGTATTCCTAAAAGTGGTTCTTTCATCCAAATAATCCATCTGCTCTACCTGCAGAATATCTTCATGTAGAATAAACTCTTTAGGACCCCCTCTGCCCTATGTAAACACTGTGTGGCATCCACCATGTGTTCGGAAATGATTATGAAAAGCGAACAATTTCAGAGGGCGGAGACTAACTGCAGGCATGGAAAGGAACCAAAGAGGTGTGTGTGTGTGTGTGTGTGTGTGTGTGTGTGTGTGTGTGTGTGTGTGTGTGTGTGTGTGTGNGTGTGTGTGTGTGTGTGTGTGTGTGTGTGTGTGTGTGTGTGTGTGTGTGTGTGTGTGTGTGTGTTGGGGTGGGGGGGTTATTAATAGTCCAGCTGTAGTAGCGACTCTCTCTTGGATGGTTAATCACCAATGGCCCCAGAACTCTAGGCACAGCTCGCCAGCTGATTCTAAGAGCTGTCTTCCCTCCCTGCGATATATGGTCCCTGTTTTCCAGGCCGGAACCCTCACTTTCATTAGCGAGCCCCTGCTGTGCTCATATTTTAACTAGCTGCAGGCACTATACTCCTTTTTGGCTTTTACCACCTCACTTGGCTCACTGCGAGCTGTTTGAAGGCCGTGTTCCTTCTCTCTTTCCCAAACACCTTCCTTCCTCCCTTCTTTCTTTCCTTCATGAGTTTTTTTCTTTTCTTTTCTTTTTTTCCCCATAGAAGAGATCCAAATTAGCAGTAAAAGACAGCACGAGCCACAAATAACAGGCAAAGTGACTCAGTGTGCGCGCTGCTGTCATAGCAGGTTTTATTGAAGTCTTCACAGCATAATGTAGAACAAGCAGAGTACGGGTTTGAGAGCAAAGGAGTAAATACACTTCGTCTTTTTAATTTATATCTTGTAAAATCAAAGCTGCTTCGAAGTGTCTCCGTTTTACGTTCAAGCGCCGTCATTTGGATGATGCTTTGCTGTGTTTAAAACTCACTCCATTCAGCTTGCTGTGTAAGGTTTTCTTTCCCCCCTCAGTCAATTCTCACAGCTTCTTCAGACCATTTGCTATTTTTCAAAGTCCTGTTCTGGAGCAGAGACAGTCGAAGTGAGGGCATGATGACCCTTTAAGGTGCGATATGCTCTAGTGGAGGGAAGTCTATAGAGCTGCCCACCAGAAAACTCACCTTATACTTCTCCTCCTTCGCTCTTTGTTCTCCGTTTCTCCAACTCTGTTTGACACTCTCCTGTTTTTGTCTTTACTTTATGTACTGATGTGTTCAGCGACAGCGCTCTGTTTTCTTTGTGAAGGGTGTGGTAGTGAACATCTCCTGCTTCAGCCAGAGATTGCAGATGATTGACTATCATTTCCCTCACTATTTCATGCCTTTTTCCCCCTCAGGTTGTTAGATGTTTTATTGCCTCAAATGGGCACACTGTTGTGTTCATTTACTTTCACCCTTAAAAGGCAAGGCACTTTACCAAAAAAAAAAGAAAGAAAAAAAAACAGTTGCTATGCGAAGCCTTTTTCTTTTACGGCAGGAAATAAAAAGCCCTCATCCTTTTCTGTTTCACATCAACATGCTAAAAGAATAACCTTTGCCGTGATAACGCTCCCTTTGAAGAAAACATACCCCTATTATAGCCGTCGTCAGCTGTGCATGTTATACTGTTTCCCTAACCCTTCTCATAATGACTCCATGCATCACCAGTAATCTAGTCTTTAGGATTTTGTCTCAGTGAAATGCGGGGGAGTGGGGGGGTGGGGGTCTCGGGACAGAGAGGGGTTGCTCAGCAGAGCTTGATAGCGGGTGCCAGGACACCAGCAGGGCCTACATTCCTTCCAATGATTTCATTCCTCTCCCCTCTGCGACCAAGCCATGCTAATAGAGGCCATCTATAATGGTCACTGGCTGCTGCTGCTGCTGCCGAGCACAAACGGGGGGCTGAGAGGCATGGCGAGCACAAAGAGCCAGGTCCCCCCCCACCCAGCCCCTCTGCTCTGGCAACACGGGAGGTGGATATCTGTTCAAAACGAGTGGGGGATCCGTACGATTGCTGGCACGATTTACAAACCAAGTTTTATGTGGTAATCTGCGGCAATTGAGCTTTGATGATATGGAGATGGCATTTAATAAGTGAAGGTACTGTTTACTGTTATTGCGTCGTTTATGCAGGGTTGTGCTCCAAGTAGAACCATTAAAACCATTCCCCTTTTCACCCAATGTAACTAACGCCGAGATTGTTGTGGTGCATTAGGTGTTTTGTTTGATGGTAATTTGATTCAAGCAATGTATTCGTCCTTGGTCAAATGGTTCAGAACAGCTCTTGCCATCGGCTCAGACACTTAAAGTAGTTAGAGTTGGTCAAAGTCGAGGTAGGTGTTGAAATTTTAATAAGAGTTGGGACAAATTGTCCATTTTGTCCCGACAGGCGGCAAAAACGACAAATCACGTCTTTGTGTTTTGGGCTTCTTTCATAAAAAGAAGCACAGATTTTTGGTCCAACGTATAAAAGCTGTTTCACTCAATGAGAATATCAGTTATCAGAAAATATTTAGGCACTCATTATTCTGTGAGTATAAGTGTAATAAAACAAGCGTCGATGCAGGGTAATGACCACTTATAGTCTTGTTTAAATTCACCCATACTACAGATGGCTTACGCTACAGATGGGGGCTATAATCTGCGCGGGTCATAAAATGAATTATGGTTGTCGCTAAACACCTTAGTGTTAATATTTCAGCCCCCCCCCCCCCTTTTTTTTTTTGAAGTGTGTCAGGGGAAGGATGTGGAGACGAGAGTCTTTGGGCACACTTTGTTCTCTGAAGCCAGGAAGTCACGATGCCAAAAACATAAAGGACTCGTGCTGCGTCCTATTACAGGCAATTACATGTTACAGGTTGCTGTCTGTACAAAACTTAAAGAAAAAGAGGGATCGAAGGATAAAAGGAAGAAGAGTCGAACCCAATTTTGAACAAAGAAAGAGGACGCGTGCGGGTGTGTTTCTCCGTCCTGCAGGTCTGCGTTAATGCAGCATGTTTTTGGGCCAAAAAATTTCACTCGAGTTGCATCATCCTCTCTGTGGGATCCTCCTCTCTCCTCCTCTCCCGTTTGGCTCGGGATGCCTCTGTGTGTGTGTGTGTGTGTGTGTGTGTGTGTGTGTGTGTGTGTGTGTGTGTGTGTG